GACCAATTGTCCGCAGTTCAACCACCACCTCCACCCCTTTTTTCAACGGTGGACTCAAATAACATTGGACAAATGGGCTTAGAGCTCATCCACCATGGTTACTCCATCCCTTTCATTTCTTGTCCTCCTACCCACCCTCCCACCTCGTCCCTTCTCAAGGACCCATCTCACAGGACCCTCCTTGAACAAGAGGTGCTTCATCTCCTCCAATTAGGCGTCATAGAACCGGTACCAACAGAGTTCCGTGGCCGAGGGTTCTACTCAACTTATTTTCTAACCCAGAAAAAGAACGGAGGATGGAGACCCATTCTGGATTGAAGGAAGCTCAAAAAATACGTCACTTACCACCAATTCAAGATGATGACCCTAACAATAATAATTCCAGCAATAGATCAAGGAGACTGGCTTTCAGCTTTCGACCTTCAGGATGCATACTTCCACATAACAATCCATCCCCCCCACAGGCGTTTTCTGCGATTCACGGTTGGCCATTACCAATACCGAGTGCTCCCTTTTGGCCTTTCAATGGATTCCAGAGTGTTTTCCAAAACTCTAGCTGTTGTAGCAGCCTACCTACATCGTCAGGGAGTCATAATATTTCCATACTTAGCTTTTATGAGAGAGTTGCCTATGTCCTTCCAAGAGACAAAGGACATGATCGAGACTACCACGAACCTCCTGCTCCACCTTGGCTTCCATATAAACTATGAGAAATCCACTGTCCACCCCACTCAGGCGCAGGAGTTCATAGGAGCCACATTGATACTATCACAGCCAAAGCGACTCTACCCACACACAGATTTGACACCCTATGCAACCTCATAGCAGTAGTACAGGCGACGCCTACCATGACAGTTCGTGAATTCCTTAAAATCCTGGGACACGTGGCCACCACAACCTATGTCGTCGGGCTGGCGAGGCTCCATGTGAGAGACCTTCAGTCTTGACTAGGCACACTTTACACACCATGCAGAGACCCGCTCTCCAAGTCAGTTACCGTTCCACCATGGATCCTCAACTCCCTTCACTGGGGGACAAATCCACACAATGTCTTAATTGGAGTTCCATTCCATCAGCCTACCCCTACACTTACCATGAGGACCGATGCATCGCTCGTGGGATGGGGTGTCCATCTAGGAACCCTCACAGTCCAAGGCAAATGGTCTTTTACAGAGCGAACGCTCCATATCAACTGTTTAGAACTGTGAGAAAGACGGTATACGTGCCAGCATTTCCTACACCACATAGTGCGCAGGACTATCAACATTATGACAGAGAACACCACTTGCTTGTATTATATCAATGGGCAAGAGCCTCGTCCCTATGTACGGAAGCTCTCAAACTATGTAACTGGTACCTTGTGCATCAGATCACCCTTGTGGCCACTTACCTCCCAGGGTGCTAAACGTTACAGCAGACGCCCTCAGTCGCAAGTTCTACAACCAATACAAATGGGACAGCCAGAGCATGGAAGTGTGTTGTTAAACTAGGTGAACAGGAGCACCCTGGTGCAGCGCTGTTGGGTAAGCTGCAATGAAATTGTGTCTTAGGCTAAAAAGAGGGAAGCTTCAATCCCAGCCAAATACGCTCAGGAGGAGTGTCAGACTCCACTCTAGGTTATTGAAAATCCATCCCCTCTCCCTCGGCTGGCTGATCTGACTGGATTTGAGACTGTAAAGCCCCTCACTCTCATGGGACTGCCAGCTAGCTGTCCATAGTTATCTAAAAGATGAACATTGCTCTTCATAGTCTTACAAGCTGTTGCGATTGTCTGAATCCCTTCAACCTATGGGGCACATCCTCTTCGTTCCACTGCCTTTCACAGCGCTGAGCAGTGGTGACTTTGGGGAGGGACACAAGGGGAGCACTGGTCACATGACCACCTCTCCACGTGTCTCCTCCCTGTGCCACTCCTTGAATCCCTTCCCCAAGGCAGGCATTGTGGGACACGTGTAATCGCTTGACAAAACAAACAGCAGAGTCTCTTTGCCGACAATAAAGGGAGGGGAAAAGATAAAAGTCTCTTGCAGGGGTGGAAGGTTTTTGTTGCCAAAACTGGGTGTTTTTCTGGGAAGTGGGGCTGCCCCACGAAAGCTCATCACCTAATAAGTCTTTAGTTAGTCTTTAAAGTGCTACATGACTGCTTTTTTTTGTTTTCTCAAGTTGCATTGCACTGCAAATGCTCTCGCTGTTTTGTCACCAAAAGGCAGTTTGGGCAACAAAACTTGCCAGTGTAGACAAGCTCTCAGATGAAACTAGAGAGTGTCTTTTGTTAGTCTTTCTGCATTGGTGTTAATATTGAGCCAGTGCCATGTTGTCCTGGCAGGTTTGCATAGATCATGCAAAAAGGGTAATGAATGTAAATGTTTTATTTCAGGTTATTAATGGGTGACTTCACAAACGCAGAGTGTAGTATCTGAATTAAAATGTGTGTATCCTGGAGGACAGAGGCAGAATTAAAGTGGGTGAATTTCTAAAGTGAACGAATATGTATCAGTATTCTTAACGGAATGTCAGTCTGCAACCGTAATGGAATATTTTTGTTACTTTGGCTACAGCCATACTGCTTAGGCTTAAGATATTTGAATTCTAAAGTTCTAGTTGTGTGGTGAAGAAGGATCATGTGTAGGTGTTGGCTAAAAGCCCTTTGTTAAACATTTTACTTTAACTTGAAGTAAATTTAAGAACAAAATTAAAGGGACATGATGGAGGAGCTAATCTCTTTTATTGGGCCAGCATCTCTTAGTGAGACAGGCGAGCTTTGTGAACATCTACAGAGCTATTCCTCAGGGCTGGGAAATGTCTGTTGCAGCTAAATACGGAATCCGATGTGTTGACTAGAGCCCATTCAAAGTGAAGTAGCCAGTTAACACTGCTCCATTGGTGAGGAGGGGAGGATGGAAGGTTGAGGGTGAGAAAAGTAGCTGGGGAAGGGGGAATTGTTTAATAAGCTATAAATCCAGTGTATCTATTAATCATGATCCTTAGTGCCTAACTAAGTTAAGCTTTCCAGTCTAGGAGCTTAAATTCCTATCTCTTTCACGAAGAGCAGTTGGCCCAGTAAAAGTTACTCCCTTACCCACCTGGGGCCAGCAATACTACAGCAATACTATATGCAATAAAATTAAAGATGATCAAAACAGCTAAGTTTCGGCTAGATGAGAACTTGTCCAAAGTGTGGATCTGTCAGCTTCTGAGGGTTCAAAGGATTTGGATGCTTGTCTCAGTTACGTTCTTATGAAGTAATTTCTTTTCACACACAGGTTGTGGTCACTGAATGAACATGCTCTGCAAAATTGTAGTTGAATGGTTTATTTTTGGTGGAATCTGTGCTAACTAGACCATTCTGTTTGTTCCATTTGTAATTAGCCAGCGGAAGTTCCCAGTAAACATTCATGACACTTTTCTGGAGAGCAAGAGTCCTCAATTAAATTCCAAACTAACTTGTACTGGACAAACTATAAACACCTCATAAGAGATTTATAACTAATTAAACCAGTGCTGTCGACACCACCTTTAACTAAGTTCTTCTGCATCCTCCAAGTCTTGGGTCTGTGATGCTTCACATGAAGCAGCTTTCTTATACATTTCGAATCCAAAAGTAAGGTTAGTGGCATGCCAAGGTGGATGGAAATGGATGGATACTGACCGTGAAATACCCTAGTTCTGGTTACCTGATGCATGGATCCTCTTCCATGCAAACATCAACATAAACTTCCACATAATTAATAAACACCCTGCGTGGTCCTAACAGTGTGAGGATGGAGGGGACCTTGTGAAGTTAGCCAGTGCAGCCGCCTGTGCTGAGGCAGGATTGGGGAATTGTTGCTACATCAGCAAGTGTCTACAACTCTTGGCAGCCCCTACCCCCTCTAGTCATGAGAGATGGCGGTAGGCTGGGAAAGCGGAAGGGAAAGGTCACTTGTGCACACAGTTTACACTAGTCACTGGGGAAAATTCCTGCCTTTCCTGGTACCTAAGCTACTTCCAGTTCTGTCCTGCCCTTCACCTCATCTGTGCACAGACGCTGCCAATTGTTGACTAGTTGGAAGCAGCGTCTGTAACCCCTCCCACTACTGGGACCCTAGCCCTCCTGGAAAGCAGCTTAGATCCACTTGGTGAAGTTGCACCCAGGTTTGTGTGTCCTGTGCTATTGTGCCATGTGCTAGTGTGATAAGCAAGCACACCTCGTTAGCCACCCTCTGTCCCAAAGGCATCAAGGGTACTCTGCGTGCGGCTAGCCTTGCGCCCTGCTGCAGTGCAGCTGCCTCTGGGGTGGGACACCACTCCCTTCTCTGTCCTGGAACCAAAGTGTCTGTACCACACTGTCACTTTCACTGGGGGCTTTGGTTTCAATTGCCTTCCCTTCCACCCCCCTCCAGTCAATCCGCCAGGGAGGGCGGGTGTGCAGAACGGCCGCGGCGCTGTCCACAGCAAGACTGCAGGGGCAGGAGCCGCACCAGCACTTCTCCAGTTGCAGTAAAGGTGCGTTAGGCCAGTGCGCCTTGGAGGGCAGGAGGCCACGTGCTCTCGCTGCTAATTAGAGCAGGAGGCGGCTGCTTTGAGCCCCTGGCTGGGGGCAGGGCTGTACTTCCTGCTGCCCCCCTTCTGCTCTTTGCTGTTTAGAGCAAGTCCCGTGGCCACACCTCTTCCCCCCCCCAGACAATCTTAGGACTGTGTGGGGCCTAGCTCTGTGCCTGGTGCCTCTTCTGCATCTCTTGGTCTCCACACACTCCGACGTCTGGGTGTGTCTGTTCCAGGGAGCGCGCGCCCCCCCACCCCAGCTCTCATGGGAATGATACACTGGCTCGTTGCAGAGGGTGCTGAGCAGATTCGCAGTCCCGTGGGGCCCAGGGGAGCAATGGCTGGAGGAGCTGCTGCTCTTCTCCCGCTTTCCAGAGGGTCAGGACAGGGACTTGCTTTCCTGGAGGGGTGGGTTACACTGGCCTGTTGGCAGCTGCTGGGGGGGGCTGGGCCTGACTGCCCATTTCTCTCCCCAGGTCATCATTGAAAGATACAAGGGGGAGAAGCAGCTGCCTGTGCTGGATAAGACCAAATTTCTAGTCCCTGACCACGTGAATATGAGCGAATTGGTAAAAATTATCCGGTAAGTGAAACGGCCCCAAAGCGAATGTGCTGTGACCATCCCCCGCCCTGCCCTGTGTGACCTGTGCCGGGTGGGGACAACAGGCGCTGGCTGGGAGGTGATGGCCCCTGACTGAGACTGTGCAGTGTGGGTGCCTGGGTCCACTGCTCCCTCCCACCACCCTGGTGGCCTGGTGCCCGTCCCCAAGTGGTGGAGGGATGCGAGGGCCTGAGAGTGGCCCTGGGGGCATAAGAAATGTGTCTGCTGCAAAGAGCTCAGGCTGTACTGAATCACCAGCATCACCCTCTCCAGGTCCACCCTCCTGCTGTGGGTGCCTGTCCTGAGCACCCCGTAGCTGAGCTGGGAACAGAGCCCTGCTCCTCCCTGTGCCGTCAGCCGTTGGCTTGTGGGGGCGAGCGCTGCGCTAGGGGGCCAGAGTGTGTTGGCCTTGGTCTGAGCGCCGGGCTTGGGCAGCCTTGTGACCTGCATTGACAGTGCATCGGTGGCTCCCTGCTACCAGGTGGGCGCAGAGAGGGAGAGCCGGGCCCCAGCCCCGAGGGAGTTTTCTGAGCCAGGACCGGCGCTGAGGGGTGGCTGGCTTCCCGTCCAGCACCCAGGTTACTCAACACAGCCGTGCTTGGAAAGCCCATGCGCATTGCTTGAGGATGATGCCGGTTTCAGGGCTGCCCAGGGCAGGGGAGTGGGGGCAGCAGGCCAGGAGGGTCTGTCAGGAGTCACAAAAGGACTGAAGTGCCTAACTGGCCACACAGCGAGGTTTGGGGTCACTGGCCTGGGGCCAGAGGGGGAAGTGGGAGACCAGGATCCACTGCCCCCGCGCCAATGATTCCTTCCGTTATGCAGCCTGGAGAGAGCGAGGGAGCCCAAGCGGCAGATCCTGCTTTCAAATCCCTTCTCCTCTGGGGGGGGAGGGAAACCAGGAATGAGGCTTCTCTTAGGGCCAGGTCTGCTGGTCTGAAAAGGAGGTGGGGGCGGGGCTTAGCACGTGCCCCCTGTTTGCTGTCTGTCTTTCTCCATTGGTTGTATGGGGAGGCTGGATGCCCAGCTGAGACTTTGGGGGCCCTGGGATGCTCAGTGTCCTCACACTGGGGTTTGTTAATCCTGCCCTGGGAACCGCAGGGGGTTGCATGAGCCTTCCTGCCCCAGGCCTGCTACAGGCCACAGCCGTCGGGGTATGCTTGGGCCTCCAGCGAAAGGGGCTGCCGAGACCCCTCAGGCTAGAAAGGCCCCAGCATCAGAGAAAGCGTCTCAGCCCTTCCCCGGCCGGCCGGGTGCCAGTGCAGGTGGCCCTGGCTGGGCAGGCAGGGTTGGGCAGTTCTGTGGCACACGAAGGAAGCTGGGCCTGGCCGGTCGAGCGCTTGGGGGCCTCCAGCCCCCCGGGAGGTCACTGTGGTGCTGCCTTTCCTGCCAGTCCTCACTTGGTCTAACCCCCTCTCCTCTGTTGCCCTAAGGCGCCGCCTGCAGCTGAACCCTACCCAGGCCTTCTTCCTGCTGGTGAACCAGCACAGCATGGTGAGCGTCTCCACCCCCATCTCGGAGATCTACGAGCAGGAGAAGGACGAGGACGGCTTCCTCTACATGGTCTATGCCTCGCAGGAGACCTTCGGCTACTGAGACGGGCGCATGGCACGCGGGGACAGACTGAAACTGCACACGGGCCCCACCCCCTGCCCTGGGAAGATGATGTGGCTAGAGGCTCACAGCACAAGGATCCATGCAGCCCATCCCCACCCCCATAAAGGCAGAGCCAAAGCTAGTGTGGTGTGTGAGACTCACACCTCCCTCCCTTTGTGTAATTGTCCCTACGCAGAGCACTAGGTCCCTCGCCTCCCCATCCCACCTCCTCAGCAGTAACTTCAGCTGCTCTCATTGTAGTGTGTGCGTGTGCGTGTGTTCTTTGCCAGGTCGGCCCGGGCTGGTGGGGGGCAGTTCAAGGAGGGGGCATCTCTTTGACCAGTACTGCGGGCCAGGGCCTGACTCTAATTAAGGGCAGGAAGTCTGCAAAACAAAAAACAAGCCAACAAACAAAATCATTGCTCTTGAGTTTTAATTGATTTTAATTACACGCATATCAAATTCTTGGTGCTACCGAGTAGGTGTAGGTGTCTCTAGGACTGTGGATAATGTATATCCGTTAGATTTATTTTATTATTATTGGTTTTTATTTTTAATGGGGGGATAATTTGCCTGTATTCTGTAGATAAATAAACTGAGCTTCTTTGCACTTTAAAATGTAGCAGTGGAATTAGCCTAATTTATCCAGCTCTGACACACAGCACTGCTTCTCTGGCAACTTTGGACCTTGATTTCCTTTGTTCTCTTTTTTTTTTTTTGGTTTGTTTTTAAAACCAGTTCCAGGCTCCCCTCACCTCTCTGCATTGCATGTGGTGTTTTGGTCCTATTGTGGCAGAGACTCTACTTGAGAAATGTACTGATCTACATTTCCCCTTTTTCATGTACTATACCAAAAAGATGTATATGAAAAAACCCGACCCAGTGAAATCTATAGAGAAATCGATACATATACCTACAAATAAATATGGATTCAAGTCACGTCTTGCAGGAATGTTCTTTTCCCCTTTCGTTCACTTTCAGTGTGAGCACCCCCGAGCAGTCGGTGAAGGAAAGCTCCAAAACCCTGGTGAGAGACGAGCCATGCCAGGCTGTTGGCATCTCGTCTGGTGAGTTGCCCCTGCCAGTGTGCTCAAAGGAGGCAGTGTTACCTAGGGGATAGAACCCAGCACTGGCACTCAGACCTGGCTTTTGTGCCTGGTTCTGCCAATGGCCTGCTGCACAACCTTGGACCAGTTGTCTCTCTGGCTTGTGCCTCAGTTTCTCCATATGCAAAATGGGGGTAATGAGCCCGCCTATTTCTGCGCAATGCTGTGCCATCGCTACGCGTGTGTGCTCGGTAAATGCCAAGGGTTGTGTGTGTTTCTGCGTTGGCTTCTGTGGAAAGCGAGAGAAGCCGATGGGTGGTGGTGGGAGAGAAGTGATGCTGCATGGCTGCTGCTGGTAGCTTGCTGAAACCTTCCCAGGGTGGATTCCTGTAGGAAGCGGGGCCCGAGTCTTCTCCCACTGTGCTCAGGCAGCAGCAACCCCCTCGCGGGCCCTGGAGCAAGAGGACTGGGCCCAGAGGAGGTAGAGTGGAAGCCATTGGACTCCCACTTTTCTTTCAGGAGGGATTGGTCCCTATAGTATGCCCCCCCCCCCCCCCCCCCCCCCCCCTGCAGCTCAGCTGTTTGCACAGCTGCCCTTGCCCAGCAGCAGTTCACTTAATGCTCAGCCTTGCTTACCCGTCTTCATTCCCAGCCTGGCCTGCCGTCAGGAAAGTTACCAGGTGCCCCCTTGCTCCAGCCAGTGGGAAGCTAAGGGCCAGGGAAAAGCTGGGGTAAAATCTCTCACCCCCTGGGGGTTGCAATTACTTTGATGAAGTTTCCCCTTAATGTTTTGCAGTGGCTTTAAGAGAACCCCCGGGTGGTGGGTGTCAGGTACGTTTGAAGCCTTGCTCAGCCCTGCCAGAGGAGCTTTCACCTCTCGCCTGTCTGAGCTGCTGGGAGGGCCTGGGGGTGGGTGATCCTGGAGCTGCTCCCCTAACGTGTGACTGCTGATCCATCAGACTTGCTGGACTGGGGCAGTTGCACCCCCCCCCTAAAAGCAGCAGGAGGTAAGGCCCAGTAAATCTTTCAGCTCACTCCGTCCCCAGAGGGTCAGGTGCTGCATAAACTCGGCCCGGATGCAGCCCCTGCTGCGAAGGACTCTTAGGGGAGCAGCTGATGGTGGTGTCCTTCTCCCAGACCTGCGCCTTGCTGAGCCAGAGGGAGCTGCCTGCAGCCCATGCTGTTAGATCAGCAGCATCGCTGGCCAGGGCTGCAATAGGGCCTAATGGCCCTTGGACCAGCTCCTGCACTGCCAGCCCAGTAAGACAAGCGCCAGCTCTTGGCCCACTAGGAGCTGCTTTTGGTTTAGCAAAAGTCCCTGGCCCAGGTACCCTGCATCACTCCCCAGGAAGCCCTGGTGGCTCTGGAGCATAAGGCCAGCCCCTGTTACCAGCCAGCTAGTGCGGCTCTTCAAGGGCCTAGGTGCCCCGTTGCAGGGCCTGGCTACCCTCCAGCTATGCTGCTGGATGTGTCCGCCCCCTGCTCTCGGGCCGCTGGCGAAGAGGTGCAGGGGGAGAAGCACAGAGCCAGGGGCAGGCAGTCTCACCCCTGGGCCTGGCTGCTCGCTCTGCATACAATAAGCTCTCTTCCCTGTGGTGCAGCCTCCTTCCTAGCTTGCTTGGTGCCCAGCCCCTCCCTCCCCCCTTTCACAGCGGGGTGGCCACCACACCCCCTGCCTGGATGTGTCCTACTGGTCCTCTGTGTTTCAAAGCTGCAGCTCCCACAGTACCGGGATGATGGCGGGAGAGCTGGGCCCGGGGGGAGCTGCTGGGGGAGCCAGTGCTGCACCGACGCGCTGGATGGGTGCAGGTGAACCGAGCTTAACCGGCTTCGGGAAACACTTGCAAAGCCTCCCTCTTGGCCACTCCCACTGCAACCCGGCCTGGCATTCCCCAGGGCCCCCCCCCAAATACCCTGATGGCCCTCGCACCACCACGCCTGAGGCCCTGCCTAGTTGTGCCCTCTGCTTGCAGCGCACCATGCCCCCTCCTGCCACTAAACAGCTGATTGGTGGGGCCTGAACAGCCATGAGTTTTTTTCAGCCAGTCTTCCAGCCCCAGGGCCTCCAGTCAGCACCTACAGCTTCAAGCTGAGTGCTGAACCCAGACAGGGAGCGGTGCCAGACACGCCCTGAGGGCCAGAATACGACTGATCTTACAGGGCAGATGCCCAGAGTCTATGGTGATGGGCATCAGGTATAAAGCTCTAAGCCAAAATGCAAGTTAGCAGCTGGAAAGTCCCTCATGCCCCAGGCCAGCTGGCTGCAGGCCACCAACGACCCCCTAGAGCAGTCAGGGACCCTCCAGTACAAATGGCCACACCCCCCACCCTTCCAGGGGGCCAGGAGCTGAGCCCCTCCCTGACGTTCCCCAGCCCTGGATGGGGTGCCCCCCCCACCCCTTCGTATTGGTGGGCAAGGGTAGGGCCAAGGGTTCCGCGCGTGGGGGCTGCAGGTGGGGAGGGGCTTAGGGTGGGCCTTTCACTTAGCATCACTGCCCAGGAGCTGCCAGGTAACGGAGGCTGCCTGGTGCCCGCCTGCCCTAGGCCACCGTACTGCCCCCCCAGGTCTGGCTCCTGAGCTGCCCCAGGCCTCTCTCCCATTGTACCCAGAGCCCCAGCACAGGGCTTAAGGGGAAGCTATGCAGCTGTGCATCTGTGCAGCTTAGTGGGAACATAGGAATGATGTGCTCCGCGAGTCACACTTTATAAAAGAGACACCCACCCAGCAGAGCAGTCCAGCCCTTGGGCCAAGACGAATCCTGATTGAAACAGGAAAGGACCCTGAACACTGGCAATTCCCTCCCAGCACAAAGCCCAGCAGAGCACTCAGCAGCATTTCAACCTTGCAGGGTTTATTTCTGCCAAGCCCCCCCCACCTGGCAGCCAAGGGGAGGGCTGGCTCTGAGAGCCCTGTGGCAGCGGGACCAGGAGCCTGCCCGAGAGAGGATCCTGCCTGGGAGAGCTGGACGGGGGCCCAAACCCGCCCGCCAGCGTCAGCAGCAGGGCGATAAGGCGAGCGTTGTCTTCTTACAAAACGCCATGGGAGCAAGTACCCAGCAAGACAGAGGGGAAGCGAGAGGGCGGCCCGGCTGCCGCGTGACCGTGTCGCGCTGTCTGTGGAACGGGCACAGCTGAATGGGGGTTTCCTAACTGGGGCAGAGGCATGGAGCTGCATGGTCCCAGTGCCTGGCCCCAGCCGGGCCCCACACTTTCCTGGAGCCGCCTCAGGCCTGGGGAGCTCTTGGCAGCAGCAGATGGGTGGGGGGCTCCAACAGGCAGGGACCAGCGCCAGGAGCACGATACCATTTTGACCCTCGTAATGTGGTGACAGGGGCGAGGGGAACCCTGGGGAGGTTGCTCCTGGCTCGGGCCGCGCATGGGAAAGTGCAAAGAGGCTCCTTGCGGAACGGATGTCACGCTGCAGCAGCTCCACCCTCCTGCCTGGCTCCCAGCATGGAGCAGCTCCAGGCGCTAAGCACAATACAAAGGGGGGGCTGAGCGGGAGGGGTGTTCCCAGAAACAGGAGCACTGGGCTCGGTCCATCTCCTGTGCGGATTCAGCGAGTGACACCCTGTCCCCCAAACCTGTTTCCAAAGAACAGTCTCTGGCTCCCTCCCCCTGCCAGTCGTGCTCTCTTCCCTTCCCTGGGGCTTTGTACTTCAGGCCGAGGATTCACGCACAGCCTCCCCCACGCTCCGGCTATCGCCTCCCTCTGCTCTGGAGAGCCAAGGGTGGGCTCTGGGGCCCCATGTCACTGCAGGCGCAGCCCGCTGTGAGAGACACTCATTTTCACATGCCAGGCCAGGACAAGGAATTGGCCAGGCACCCCAAGTGCCAGCGCTTGCTGCAGGCCCTGCCACAGTGCTGCTGAAGAAAGCAATGGAGGAGGAAGAACAAGTTTGCGAAGAGATTTCCAGGGACATTTAGGTGCAGAAAGAGACACATGAATCTGCAGCATAACACCCCAGAAACGAGTCAGAGGGCGGACACGGAGCTCCGGCCCCCCGCTCTGGTCCCTGCTGGGCCGCCCGGCCGAGGGAAGGGAGGTGCTTCGGCAGAGGCCACGTGGTCCTAGCAGCTTCCAGCCTTTGCACTGAACTCAACACCGCTGCTCAGTGCTCCCATCCAAACTGCCGCCCTGCCGCTGCGTAGGAACCATGCCACCAGTCAGACCTCTCAGGGAACCGGCCCACCCCCCGGCTCCATGTGCTCCGCACAGAAGTCCGTCCCCCGAGTCGTGCTGGCAGGGAGGTCATTTGAGAACCAGCATGGCCTCTGTCCCGTCTTTCCGTGTCACGTAGAGCCCGTGAGTGAGGTAGTACTCGCGCCGCAGGAAGGCGTAGAAATAATCTGAGACGAGCAGGATCTGCAGAGAGAAGGGTACAGGCCGTAAGTGGCACTTTGGAGCAAGGCCTTGCTAGCTTTCCAGATCACTGTCCTCCCACACACCTCCACCCTCCTCTGCCCTACGCCACCCAGTGCGACCAACCCCGCGCGCTGCTGTTCCCAGGGCTCACTTCACAGTCTCTCCATTTCTGAGTCACTCTGATGCAGAGAGGGCACGAAAAGCAAAGCCACAGACAACTGGGGGCTGAGCAAAGGGGCCCAAGGGGGGCACGTGGCCCTTCAGTGCTACCCCCAGCCGGGCGAACCAAAGCACAGGCTACGTGAAGGTGTTCAAGGGCGGCAGGCTGTGGGCGAACCAAAGCACAGGCTCCGTGAAGGTGTTCAAGGGCGGCAGGCTGAGCCCTTCAAAATCTGGGCCTCAATGACGCGCCCACATTATTACAGTGGCAGTGGCAGAGTTCTTGGCACTAACCACTAGGCTCTCCTGCCTCCCAAATGCCCTTGTACTGGGTCCTGGACACGTGTGTGCCCCAAGCACTGTCTGTGAAAACCCAAGAGCTGATGCAGGGGGAAGGGCTTGTTTGCTGCAACTGCCAAGCCGGGCGGCTCCCTCGGCAGGCCCCGTCCTGCTCACTCTTCACACCCCATTAGTTATTTACCCACTTGCCATTCATGCCCTGGATCCACTGTCCCCATATCTGCCCATCAGCACCAGGAGCCAGTGACTCCGACCCAGCCTTGGGCTGGAAGCCGGGGCGGCAGGGCCCTACCAAACTCACGGCCAGGCGAAACGTGGCACGGACGGGAACTCTGGCCTGGGCCCTTGTGCTCTAGCCGCTGCAGATTCCGTGCGGGAGCCACTGGCCCTGAGCCAAAAGGGAGCCGCGGGGGGCTGAGGGTATCGCCCCTACTTCTGCACTGCTGCCTTCCGAGCTGGGCAAGGGGGCTTGTCACTTGGGCCTAGACCCAACTCTAAGGGCAGAACCCAGCCAGCAGCAGGGCAGCAATACGGGCGTTGAGAGCTGGGTGGCTGGAGTGCACGGCTGCTGCCCGAGGGCCCAGCTCCGCAGGCAGCAGCACCTACGGAAGGGTGGCAATGCCAGTGGCAGTACCAGGACTAGTACCAGCAACCTCCGGGGCCCCACATCTACCACAGGAGGGGAACTGTCGCAGCCACGAGATTGAGGCTTCTCTCATTCATGTCTGGAAAATGCTTCATCACACAACGGCGCCACAGAAAGGTAAAATAGCGTCTATGAACCCCCTTGTCCTGACCCAGCAGGTTAGTCCAGAAATCACTCACAGCTGCGGCAAGATTGTTTGGGCACGTGACACTCACTCACCTCCTCCTCTGCACAAACATGAGCTGTGCTGCGTGCAGCCGCACGAGCATCAAAGCACAACGACCTCTCTGGCACCTCCCCGGGGCAAATGACGCTGCAGCCCCGACTTGCTATGAATGGCAGGGCCAGCCTACACTGAGGAACAGCGCGATGCTTTCAACATGGCTGGAACGACTACATTGTAAAGTCGCGTGTGTCATTTTGCTGGCACCCTAAGGAGCCCCAGAGATGTGGCAGAATTGTTGGCGAGGGAGGCATGCTGCCAGGTGGCCACAACTCTGGACTGGGGCTCAGGCAAACTGGGGAGCTAGTCCCAGCTCTAGCAATGGCAGCTGGGTGACTTTGGGCAAGTCGCTGCTCAGTGCCTCAGTTTCCCCACCTGCTAATGGGGCTAATGAAGCTAATAGCCTTTGCCAAACACTTTGGGAGCTACGGCTGGAAAGCTCCACGGCTGAGTTCGGTCAGCCCATTGGTGATGGTGCATCTCAGGGTGCGTGTGGGCTCTGATCATCTCACATTACATTCAAAGCCAGCCTGCTCTGGGGCGGAGTCTCCCACCTGAGACACCTCACCCTGCACAGTTCAGATGGGGGTCACATGGCTACAGGCTGGGCAATCTTTCACGCCGATCGCACAGGCCCCTCTGATCTCACCTCCTCCCGGATCAGGCAGTGATGCTCCCCACGGGAACAGTAACGGCACAGCTCTAGGAAAAGCCCTGCAACCGCCACGACCTAGCCGACGGCTCCCACCCGCGGGCCATGCCGACCGGCGTAAGCCTGGGCGCTCACACGGCTCGGTAGCCTGGGAAATGCCCATTTGCAATGGAGCCGTTTTAAAGCACAGAAGAGGCCTGAGACCATAACGCCGACCTCTCGATTTCCGCGCCTTTAAAGTCCCAGGCCCAGTGGAGCAGCAGTGCAGCTCCAAGCTGGTATTGATCGGCAAGCGAGTAAAGGTTAAACCAGCAACACTGCGGCCCTGACTGGACAGGCCAGGATGAGTCCGGGCCACTCGCTCCGAAGGGACCCACGGCCCCGCGCGTGTCCAAGGCGCTGCTGGATGCCAGCCCTACCCCGCCCCCGCAAGCACAGGCTGCACGTTCACACCACCAGGGACAGAGCCCTGGCTAGAATCGAACCCCAGCCTTGGGCCGCTGCACCACACAGGCCAGGCACTTCAGCTCCCTGCCAGTGTCAATGCCGACACCACAAAGGCACAAGCAAGGGCCCTTTGCCAATCCCTGTTTTCATGCCTTTCCCTTGCGCCGCTCTTGCCGACTGAGCAGAGCGCCGGCAGCTCCTTTCGGGGGTCGCTCCCCTCGAGGACAGCCTACACGATTAGTCAATAAGCCCAGCTCCTGCTACATTGAAACTGCAGTGGGGTGGGCTGTTGCAGCAGCTGCGGGGCTGCCATGGCGGGTCCAGACTGCGGCTATCAGGTGGGGGCTGGAGCCAGGCGGTCGCCAGCCCCTCTCACTATCCCGGAAGGGCATGTACACCCTCCCACACAGGCACCCCCAGCCAGCTCTTGCTGCCGTGCAGCCAGGCTACCGGGGAAAGGCGAAATGGATGAGAGAGTAACGAGTAATTTTAAACTTCTGAATTGATTTTTCATTTTCATGCAAAAAGTTGCCTGTATTTTGGGAATGACCAAAGTGCCAGATTTGGTTCTGTACTGAGCCGTATTTGGCTCAAGAGCCATAGGTTGCTGGCCCCTGGTTTAAATGGTTAATCAATATGCATCAGCTTATCGGTTCCCATTACGGTTACACACTGGCTCCACGGGAGCGCAGGGGAGCCGGCTTCATGTGGGCTCCGCCATACAAAAGTTATGCTTATATCTCAGCCTGCAGCTCACTAGGATCTTCAGCGGTTACATTTTTAAACGACTTTTTACATCCCTCGTTTCCGGCGAGCTATTATTCTTTAGGTAACTGTTGTTATTCTTGGTAATGCATCTTGTTGATGAGCGGGAAAGTTTCCAACCTGGCCAGCTGTGTTTGTAAGTCTATGTGAAAACAACTCCAGATAACTAGCAATAGGAGAAAGCCGCTGTCCTTCCAGACCACATAGTGGGCGAATCATTCGTTGTCTTGAATTCCAGGTTTGCTGGCTAGGAAATCTGTGCACTAGCATCTTAAGAATGGTTTGCACGGCAACAATCCGGAGGAGTAAAGTTTTGGCAGTCCAACAAAGGTCCTGACAGATAAACCACGGGCAGTACTGCAGGGTTATCCTAGCGTTCTTCATCCTGTTGGCTCCCCAGGCAAGCTGCAAACTGAAGTGGAGTTGGGGACTAGCTACACAGGGATAACTCCGTCCCCAAGTGGACACAAAGTGCAGGGTGCAACAAGGAAGCTGTCTGACAAGACGCAGGAAAGCTACACAGCCAATGAATTTGCAGGGTATTACAGGAAGCGGAACACAACTGCCCACGTGGGAATGTGGCCAAGCTGCTTTTACGAACGTTCCCTCGATAAAGATTTCCATGGGAACTGTAATTATCACGAGTGGTCAGGATCTCAACAGCACCCACAAGTGCCCAGCATGGTGCTGATGTACTGGCTCTGTACTCACTCCGGAAGCAGAGCTGCACCCTCCAGCCTCACTGCCTGCAGCACCTAGGAATCCCTGGCCGGTCTATTCAGGCACGGACCTGGTCTGACCTGCTAACGACACAGCACAAAGTGGTGTTGGCTACTGGCTGACCCTCTACAGGCACTTGGCCAAACTGAAGGCGTGACCCAGAAAGACAGATTCCAGCTTGTTTGCTTGATTGTAACAGCAAAGTAACTCTAGCGACCTTGCAGCTACAGCACGCTCCCCAAGATGAACAAGCGGGTAAGAATTCCAACGGGCTGTCCCCTTCAGGACAGCAGGTATTTAATGTGTAGTGCATGTTTGTGCTTTGGGACTTCAGAATGAGGAGTGGACAGAACGTAGTGTGGTCAGTGATTAACAGCCCCCGATGACTGCAACGTGCTGTCGGCTTGGCAGCGCTGACGGCAAGAATGATGAATGCCCAGGGCTGTGCCAGCTTTGAAACTGCCACTGGGAGAACCAGAAAGGCAGGACAGGAGAGGAGTCCTTGCAGCTCCAACAGGCATGCTGAGGTCACGACAAAACTGCTTTGGTGCTCCCCTCCCCTCCCTGCTTTAAAAGCGGGACCGACAAGAAAAGCTGAGAGAGTGACTGATTTTCCAGTTTGCTGGCAGTTCCAGGAACAGGGCTGAGCGCAAACCAATTCTCAGAATGCTCGATGAATTGTAAAATTCCACGGGGCTCAGACAAAACCTTCTCTGTATTTTGCACTTTATATAAACACGAAGGTGCTGGTGCTCCCTTATGCCCAACAGCCCTGGGGCCTTGGCGCCCACCTGAGATGGGAGAGGGTCTCTCTGAGAAGAGGATACAGGTCACTCTCCCCCCTGCCTGGCACAGTGACTAGTCAGTGACTGTATACACAGTGGAATGGGTCACCAGGACACCTGTAGCGTAGTGCTCAGGGCACTGAGCTATGAAGGGGGAATGCTGGGCGCAAGTCCCTACTATCTCAAAGCAGCTTTCACATCCCCAGAGAGCGCCCTAACTACAAAGCTAGTGGGTGTAAATGGGGCAGCGCCTCCCATTTTGGGAATGGCACCGTATTCCTCTTGAGGATCTTGTCCCGCCCC